GACGGTCCACCACAGTACGTTTCAAAAGGAGTTTTCTTCCGCGTACAACCTCTCTGTGGAATAGTTTACCACCGACGATTTTTCCGGACCGGTACGACCTGGGGACCTTCAAGAAAAGAGCTTCCTCTGGTGTTGCGATTGATCATGGGCGGCGGTAGTCACTTAACATCAGGTGAGCCGCATGCTCGTTTGCCCCCTCTTCCATAAAAAAATAGCTACAGAGGCGCTGCTACACCCGATATTTATATATATATATATATATATATATATATATATATATATATATATATATATATATATATATATATATATATAGAAGAACACAATCAGTACACTCTAGCTATTTCGCTTAGTTTCATTCAGTCATTATTTTCCTTTTAACGCTTTTTTATTTGTTGTTATTGCTATATTACCTATAATAAAGATTGATAAAACTTATTTCGGTTTTCCTTTCTCAGATTAAGTGATTTTAATAGAATTTGAAAAACTCATATCTGGGACTGATGCCTCAACAAATAAATAAACAATCACAACCCATTTAAATATTATGTGTATATTAATAAACAACTAACTAAAAAGTATATAAACTTAGTGGTACAGAATTTTTCTATAGAACCAAGCGAGCATTAGGTCATGACAGTTGACTGGTTTCTTCCTATGACATTGAATTTTACAAATTATTCACTGTTATTGTTGTGTAAGTATAGGGGATGCTAGCCCACGAGTTTTTAGAACTAGGCGAGATCTCGAGTTTTACGAGATCTCGCAAGACAGGTATTTTTGAATGGAAACGTTTACAAATGCTAATAATTCCATTTACTGACTATTGGACTATCAACATGTAACACAAAATATATAACATGCATGTAACATGCGGTTATATCGGTTTTATTTCAAAATATAACACTATAACTATATATTTTACCCTCAGGATTCATTTCACGAACTGCTGCGCTAGGATACACACGGGTTATGCTGCCTCGCTCAGACTCGTCCGTATTTTAGAGTCTAATAAAATTTTTGACGAAGACCTCGAAAGACCATACATTTTAAGACAAGTTAGTATCAATAGTCCATCACAAATCCACTGTAAAACATAAGCTTAAACCACAGTCTGAAGTGTGTGTGTGGTATCCATTATGTTACTTTTTTTTATAGGATAGGGTAACAAACTAACACACAGTCCACCTGATGGTAAGTGGTTGCTGCGTCCCATAGACATCCACATCTATCCTCGCTTAAAAATCAAAATGCAGATGCGTTATCACCCGTGAGGACTAAGGTGGAATGCCTCGTTTCCAGTAATAGGGGCCTCCGGTTCTCTACACTCACCATACGAAACACAACACATGCAGCATTAAGCTACTATTTTACGCTGGTATTCTGTGAGAGAGTGGTCCTTCTCCGGTCGAGTCGCCCGTGGAACTATACTACTAATATAACAGCAGCATGGCTCTACCACGTATAAAAATACATATACTTAAATGCATATTATACTCTTTTATTCTCATATTTAAATTCAGCATGCATAAATAAATTTGCTACAATACGAACGTAAATTGTAATATAGGTGTTAATAAATAAAATATGAATCTGCAATGCTTTAGTTTCCTGCATAAAATTGCAAATAATATAAACGATACCAACGGCAAAGCTTTGTTAGAATAAGTGATGCCATTGGGACCGACTGCATAATAAAATTAATTCCAAAATTAGCTCTAGCTGCGATCAATCATGAAATAATGCATTAAAAATTCTGTCGCAATTTTATATTCCTAACTTTGCAGATAATAATATAAATAATTATTAATCAGAGTGAATGTCGGCTTCTTGGCGCAGTAGCTTGGCAACTAGTTGCAACGCTAAGGTACGCGGGGTTCGAATCCCACACGGAACAGGTATTTGTATGGCTTACAAATAATTCTTCCGGGTGTAGTTGTTTGTCCTTGTGTAATTTATATATGCAAACTGAACCCTCGATACTGGAGAAATTTTGAGTGTGGAGGTAACGTCTTTGAAAATAAGCAAAAATAAAGGATTGTATTCCCATTCATTCTCTAAAGAAAAACAAAAAAGGTGGTACATTCATAGCATTCTACTACTAACTTTTGTGGAATGAAATGATTTAGAAATGTAGATTAAAGATGAAATTAATATATAAATATTAGTTTTTTATTTGCTTGGAAAACTTTCAGCTAATTTACAAAAACAATATCATCATCATTATCATTATAGCCCTTTACAAGTCCACTGCAGAACATAGGCCTCCCCCAAGTAATGCTACAAAGCACGGTCCTGAGGCACATGTATCCATCGACTTTCTGCATATCTTACTAGGTCGTCACTCCATCTACGAATGTACGAGGCTGTCACTCGAGAACCTTTCTTCCCCATCGGTTATCGGTTCTTCGAGCTATATGGCCGGCCCATTGCCACTTCATCTTATTAATCCGTTGGGCTATGTCGGTCACTCTAGTTTTACTGCGGATATCCTCAAAACAAAACAATATAATTATCACAAAAATGAAGATCCTTTACACGTTTTCACTTATACAGTGTGTTAGTGTACACACTGTTATCCTTAAAACCATTGGTTTGGTTTCACTTATAGAATGTAAATTCAAAGAATTTAAAAAAAGACGCTATTTTCATTCATAAAATTTAAAAAGTTTCTGTCCGACACCGTCCGTAAATTCATGGATACCCTATGTGCCCGAGTGACTTAATCACTGTAAATATCGCCGCCGGCGCTAGCTACCTACAGAACATTCCAATAAAAACACAATAGGTACACATAACCTGTGATATAACTTTTCATCCTGGCTTAGGACAGGCAAAAATTGAGGAATTAAAGAAAAATTGAGATTTTACTTAAAAAAATGTTGTTATTTTTCATTGACTTTTCGTTCTGTAAGTGAAACGAAACCACTGGTTTCAAGGACAACGGTGTTTTTAACTCTAATATATACAAAGTCTGTTTGAAAGTTTCTCTTAGTATTTTGGTGATATTGTTTTATAAAATTTCAACTTTTGACCTTAATCTAAGGGTAGTAACGATCACAAAGGCAACTTGTATGTTGTAGCACTTGTTAAAATTTGGCCTTGAACTAAAAAGCAAAGAAATTAGGAGCGAATATTTAAGTATTTTTGAAGAATTCTATTTTTAGTTTCACGTAGGTAGAACGATCGAGTTAGCACATTTATTTGTTGTTCCTCCTTAAATTTGAAAGTTTAGAAATTAATAATTTGATTTTTTTAGAGTTTATTTGTGTTATTTCGGTATAAAACGATTAAATTTTGTGACTCACATTATAAGTATAAATAATAATTTGTGTTTATGTACCTATTTTGTATTATAGTGCAGCAAGTACATTTTAAACTTAAAACTTTCTTGTTATAACAATTTGGTAACGACGAGAATAATTTGTGGCTCATTAATAACGCTGTATTTATAAATCTGTAATGTAAATCTGTATATATGTAAATGTGTAATTACTGTATAGGTATTAATTTTTTGAAATTAGAACTTTAAAATGTCTCTCTTGTATAAAATACGTAGTACCTAGACACTCTAAGTCAGCGGTTCCGGAAAGGTGGTCCGCGGAACCCTGGGGTTCCCTGGAAAGGACGCAAGGGTTCCGTAAAAAATATTATCACACGTTTCGTGACCAACTTTTCGCGCGCACCGACTTGTTTACACACGAGATAGGGGCAGGGCGTACGGGCGAAGTAGTACAGCGCCACAGATTACTAAATAGTGACAGCGCGCACAGCCCTCCACGCCCCGCGCGCCCGTGTTGCAGTCACGGCGCGGCGGGGCGAATATGATTATACCGGTCTAGATCGCGATAAGAGCACACGTATTTCAATTATTGAATTAGTGAATAGCTGCAGTGAAAAAATACCTGTTGTTGGGTACCTATTGATCTGGAATTTTTTTACTGGTAAGTCACAATGTTTTTGTTTATTTGTAGACACATTTTCGAAATAAAATACGAGAGATATATTCACGCGTTACTTTTATTGTAGGTAGTTCAAAATGGAAAGTTGGCTCAAAACGGGACGCCTCACAAGTGGCAAAAGTATTTCGGATTCTTCATTAGATTCAGACAGCAGTGTGTACTGAAAATATTCAGGTCCTGGTTCGTCGGTAAGAAAGTTATGCATAAGTTTTTTTTACAATTATTTGGGTAATTTACTGTGATACAAGTTATTTACCAAGTTTGCGGGGAATAGAGTGAATGGGGCACTACACTCTATTATGAAGAACCAGAATGTGTCAAAAAAGGCACGTATGGTAATTCATAATGCTATGTTAGTCCCCACTTTAATGTATGGTAGTGAAAGCTGGGTGTGGCAGAAGAAGCACGAAAGTACAATAAATGCTGTAGAAATGCGGTCTTTAAGGAGTATGCTAGGGTTGAATCTGAATGACAGGGTGAGAAATTGATATGAGATAAATGTGGTATGGTGGTGGATTAGAGGGTCTGTGGAATGAATGAGGAAAGAGTGACAAAGCAAATTTATATGGCAGATGTGAACGGCCGAGTCGGGAAGGGACAAAAGCTCTTAGAAAAAAGTTTATCGACCAAATTGGCGATATTTTGAAAAGGGGCCACGTTAGAAGTACCCTTAACCGACGAGCATGTATGCGTAGATATATGGATGTAAAGGAGGCGAAAGAGGTATGTCAGGATCGTGCCAAATGGAAGTCCGTAGTCTCTGCCTACCCCTCTGGGTGACAGGCTTGAGTGTTTATGAGTGTTTATTTACTAAATTTACTAATTTTATTTATTGTCGATTGTACGTATGGCTATGGTTGTTATCATTGTTTGTCAATTCTTTTCAGGGTTTGCTAAATACACAAGACCCTAGTGCCGGACAGAATATACAACCGGACAGAATATATCACCAAAAGAGTTGCAACCCAGGAGAAAACTTCTTCAAAAAAGAGAAGATACGACGAATCCTACCTGTCCTTTGGATTTGTTCCTGTGGGAATGACTGAGAACTCGGATGGACAATGTGTGATTTGCAACAAAATAATAAGTAATACGAGTAGCTCACTGGTACCTGCAAAGCTTAAACGACATCTTGACACGAACCACCCAGAACTGAAAGATAAAAGCGTCAGCTTTTTTGAAAGACACAAAGAAGTGCGTAGAACTGGTGCAGCTGCTATACAAAAATTTGTAAAGACCGATAATGAAAATGCAACAGAGGCATCATTTCTGCTAAGTTACAAAATCGCTCGTGCTGGTAAACCACACACGATTGCAGAGGATTTAATAAAACCATGTATGACAGAAATTGTCACTTGTGTACTTGGAGAAGAAGCAGCAAAGAAAGTGTCAGCAGTGCAGTGTTCAAATAACGTCATTTCTGATCGAATTCATAAGATTTCTGACCATATTCAAAATTAATTAATTAGTAGATTGAAGACCAGCGAGATGTTTGCAATGCAACTGGACGAAAGTACAGATGTCGTCGGGTTATCAATACTGCTTGTAGATATCCCTTTGGAGGATCTATTGAAGAGGATTTGTTTCTTTGTACTCCTTTAAAAACCAACACAACCGGAGAAGAAATTTTAAAGTTATCGATAGTTACATGACTAAGCACCATATTGATTTTAACAAATGTATTGACGTGTGTAGTGATGGAGTGGCAGCTATGGTTGGCAAAATAAAAGGCACTGTAACAAGAATCAAGGAGGTTGCACCTAAATGTAGTAGCAGTCACTGCGTTTTACATCGCCATGCCCTTGTCGCAAAAAAAATGCCATACGAGCTCAAGACAGTTCTCAACCAAGCAGTACTAATTGTAAACTACGTTAAATCACGTCCACTCCAGTCGAGGCTTTTTAAAAAAGTGTGTGAGGATATAGGAAGTCAGCATCAATCACTTCTTCTTCACACGGAAGTAAGATGGCTTTCAAGAGGAAGAGTTCTATTATCTGTTTGAATTGCACGACGAGCTTAAGATGTTCTTTACCAAACAACCAGTTTCTGCACACGTTAATAAGCTTGTTGAACTGCTGCATGATGAGCAATGGTTGATGCAATTGGCTTATTTAGCTGATATATTCGATAAGCTCAACGTAATCTGCAAGGCATTACAGGGACGAGCTACAACAAAATTTACAGTAAATGATAAAATGTCTTCACTGAAAAACAAGCTTGCGTTCTGAATTGAATGTGTTGAAAAACATAATTACGAATGTTTCACAATATTAAATGACTTTCTAAAAGAAAATGAGCTGCGGGTATCTTCAGACGTGGAAAAGAATATACATGAGCATTCGACAAGCCTTACAAAATCTTTGCATGAGTATTTTCCGGAGCAGTTGCAGGACATGGACTGGGTGCAGAATCCGTTGTAAATCACACCAAACCTTCGATGCTGTCGGTGTCAGAGTATGAGAATTTGATTGACATCAAATTTTCATCAACGCAAAAACAAAAGTATGAAGAAGGAACTTTTGATTTACCCAGAAATTGTTAATAGAGCCATCACATTACTGTTACCGTTTGTGGCGACTTACCGATGTGAGACTGGTTTTTCCGCATATGCTTACAGCAAAAGCAAGTACATAAATAGACTGGATGCAGCTCCAGATCTTCGCATTCAACTGTCGGACATTAAGCCTAATTTTAATGCTATTTTAAGAAAATATGTAAAAAAATTTCATTCGTCACATTAAATTCACAAACGTGTTTTTATGAATTTAATGTGACGAATGAAATTTTTTGTACTTTTCTTTTTACCTACATATTCACAGTAAATGTATAAAAATAATTTCATAAAAACTTAATTGTTTCTCATTTATACCTTTTTTAAGGTAGGCAAATTTCCATTTATCAACGTAGGGTTCCGCTAGGAAAAGTATAATCAACTAGGGTTGCTTGGCAAAAAAAAAATTGGGAACCCCTGCTCTAAGTATCATATAGGGATACACTATATACTGTACGTACGTAGCCGGGTATCGTGTCAGTATCCACTTTTTTTAAATCGTCGCGAAACCGGTTTCGAAATAACTGCATATACGGCATTATATCGTCAATATATAGTCTCAGTAAATTTAGTGTTTCGAAATCTGATATCAAATATCAATATATAGTTTCGATATGATATTCAGAAATTATGATATTACCCACTCCTAATTAACTATAACCCTTCAATATAACATTATTAAATAAAGAAAATAAGTTGTTAGAAAGTGAACGATTAAGTTGGAGAATTACAAATAAAAACATATTTTTATTCTTGGATTTAAAATTGAATGGATTTGAACTGCTTTTAGTGTTATTATTATATAATACGATCGTTTAAATTTTCTTGACCCATATCTTGATTTTCTTCCTTTGTTTATGAGTGTGTTACTTTGATGCAGATCATAGTTCATCAGGGGACCTACTATCACAACTTGAGCTTTTCTTTGTTTTCCATTCGGACGCTACACAAGGATGTACTGCTTCGTGCTAAGTACCAACCTAAGTACTCCTAAGTTGATAAAGTGCCCTTAGCAAAATACATAATTCTTGTGCGACGAAGATCATAAAACTTAATACCACTTATAATTATGAATACCTACATTAAATTATAAAGTTCGAGACATACCATATACTTGGATACTAAGTACAATAGTGATACCAACCTAGGTACTAATAGGTTGATAGGGCGCCTTCCACGTGCTTCAAGTGTTCTAAAATTAAATCCCTGTTAAGTTTTCGAATACATTAAATCATAATTTATAAGCATATCATAACTTACATAAGAAACTGATTTTATTTAATTTTTGCGTAGAATAGCTTCTGCCGAAATAAAATTTTATAACATAAATTTTAACAAGATTCTGGTATCTATCATTTTAGACAGTAATTACGGTAATTTGAAAGATATATTGCTATGAGTTCTATTTATTTTCGAGCAAACACGAATAACTGAAAAAAGAATTATTATATTTAATATTTATTATATTACAATTATCGTTAAAGCCTATGTAAGTCCATTGCTGAATACAGGCCTCTCGCATATATTCTATCACAGGGGTGATATTTGCCATATTTTTAGCGGGTTAGCAACCGCTATTTTTTATTTTTAGTCGTTATTAGGAAGACGCTACTACCATCTCCCGATTTGTTTCTCTCTGTCGACTCTTACGACACCCACGGGAAACATCCAGTCCCATATCAATGGGGTAGTGGACATTCTTATACCGCCACTACACGGTATATTATTACACAATTATTAAGGAACAATAATAGTAGTAGTATAATGTTCTCCAGACCGAATTTCGGTCACGGCGGCCTGCCTCAACGGAGCATCTGCATTTTGATTCTTAATCGAGGTTAAATGTAGATGTCTATGGGCCGCAGCACCCACTTACCATCAGATGGACTGTGTGCTCGTTTGTCACCCTAATCCTATAAAAAAGTACCTGGGAGAATTAATAATATTTTTTTTAAATAAAAAATATTTTATAGCATGTTCGTAGCACTTAGGAGACCTTTGACGCATGGGTGCTACGAGCTACCTAGAAGAGCTCAGAGCACTTTCGTGAACCTAAATTAGATTTGATTAAAAACTTGAAACATTAAAGAAAATATTGACGCAAAATACATCTCTAAAAAAATTAAAAACTTGGTTAAATGCTTTCATAACAAAAAAGATCTAAAAAACGAATACTATTTTTTTATGCCCGTCGTAGCACCAGCAGTTAACTAACATGTCACAAGTAATATAAAATTAAAAATATGTTATCTGTTGTCCTTGAAACCTTGAACTTCCAACTCCATTATATACAACAATCACAATGGTATTTTTCGCAGAATTGAACGGGCACCAATAAGTACTTCGATGTTGTCACTTCCGGTGCCAAAACATTAATGATATTATGAGTCTAGTTTCTGGATGTTAGCGATGTTAGTCTATGCGACTCTTACAGCTCCATCTTACTCAGGGCTCGCGGCCGCGAGCTAATTAAAAAAGGGAAAGGCAATGAGGTGAGTATGATGATGAATGGTTTATGATTTGGTATTGTTACCAATCATCATGTCGCCTCTTTAGGCATTTTTTGAGCTATCTAACCGCAGTCCGAGGGGGGGAGTGCGGAGCCCCGTCTCTGACTGCTCAGCTCGTGTCGGTCGAGAATGATGATGATATTATGACGGAATCAAGATTTCTTATATAGTGTTGTGTAGTAAGGGTATTAGTGAGTATTGACGAATAGTATGACTTCACAAATCAGACATCGATTTTTCAACCTAATGACCTATGACGGTACCACTGTACGCTGGTAATCTGTTACAATTAAACCGCTAATATGGCTGCAGCAGTTGATGCAGGTGGCACAGGGCCGTGCTTTGTGGCATTCCGTGGGGGAGGTCTATGTTCAGCAGTGGACTTATGAAGGGCTGTAATGATGATGATGATGATGATGAAACGATGAACAACATCAAGAAATAAAACTTGGTACTGATTTTTCAACTGCCATATAAAATTTATCGATAAAATAACTTATAACATGATAGAATATAAAAGTCAAACATTTAAATCATTTTATTTGTACAACTGTTATTTTGAATTTATGTTATATTTTTACTACAAATAAATTTTATCTAGGGATTGAAAAAAAACAACCCTTACTGGACTAATATACATAATTAAAAGACGGACAATGGCAGACGAAAATGAATTCTGAAACGGAAAGTAGTTAGTATAAAAAATATGTAATTTTCAAGTGTTTCTCCGCATTTTAAAACATTATAAATATGACACAACAAAGAGAAATACTCGGTCTTTGTTACACGTAGTGTTTGTTTCACAATATTAATTAAGCGATGTATGAAAAGTAACTAAAGCATTGTGAAACTTTTCCCTAGGCGACTCATGCGAAGATTTCTTGTATACAAACTGTTTGAGGTTTAGTTTAAGCGCGAAGGAATACGAAACTTAAATTACTGTTCGCAGTTAGTGCCTAGTAGTGTTAATTCGCATAAATTAAGCAGTACGTAGGACCGTTTGGTAAGCAGTGAACAACACAGGCGTAATATTAACACAGGCGTGAAGCAACAGCGCACGCTTCAAGACTGGCTTTAAATATGTTTAAATTTATAAACAGAGTCGTCACTATAAGTTAATACAAGCGTTATTACTGTATTTAAAGTACCCTATCGTATCCTAATTAATCCCATTGAAAGACAGTAAAATTAAGTAAAGCTATAAGCGTCCAGCTGCGGGGCACATATCTCATATCTGAGAGGTTTATGAAGCAATTAGACCGTCGCGCTTCTCTAATGCTTGTTGGCGGACTTCATATGTCTTCGAAACATTTTATTTCCTCAAGGCTTACCCTCAAGATGTTTTTCTTGAGTTGCAAGTACACTCCTCCGTAACCCATAAGCCAATTTACATAATTTTT